ACGTGTACTTTGTATAGTTTATTGTTCTTGTACAGGCGTCGAGATGCGTCATTGTCACTTTCTTTAACTGGTAAGCAAAGAGTTAGTATGACAAGTTTTGGTCGATCGCTTCTGTGATGTTGTTCTATTTAACTTCTTAATCTCGTGGACTTTCGAAACCGCGCTTATAACAATAAGATCTTTTAATTTTATTGCCTTGACTTGACTTTTTATCGTTTATGAGTAGCAGTAATCACTGGTACATCATAGGAATGTCGAACGTCTTACTTCGTCATCATCATCGGCCTATATGAGTCCAGTGCTGGACATAGGCTTCTCCAATTGCTCGCCACTGAGCACGATCCTTGGTTTCTCTCATCCAGCTCTTTCCACCCTGCACAGATTATCACTCCACCGTGCCTAAGGGCGTCCTGTACTGCGTTTGCCAATTCGCGGTCTCCACTTACTTACTATCAGCCCACAGAGATCCCCTGCTGGACATAGGCCTCCCCCAAACCTCGCCACATTTGCAATTAAATATGACACGCGTATTGTGCAATCAATCTGCACTATTATAGCGTATATTTTATGTTTATCATTGACATGATTTTCATGGGTTGGTGTTTGTTAAAAAAAACTGTAGTACTGTTCGATTCTGGGACAAAAATTCAATTGCGAGCCAAAATTATTACGTTTTTTTTTAATATAAATATATTAATTTAATAATAAAACCTGGTCAGAAGTTTGACAAAAACTTCCGTTCATACATACCAATGTTCAAAGCGTTTACATACTCCTTATATAAATCGGATATTAAATCATCTGTGAAATGAATACTGAAGGCATATTCACTGATTATTATTATTAAAAGGAAAACACAACACAATCGAAAACTATACAATTTTAGTAGCATTTTCATAATACGCCAATGGTACGATTTTATTTCGGTTGAGCGCAAGAATGATTTTAATTTTCATTTGTGTAAACATCGTAAAATTCAAGCGTGATGGCGTTTTTTTTTTCTGTTGCCTCAATTTTACTGGTGGTAGGACCTCTTGTGAGTCCGCACGGGTAGGTACCACCGCCCCGCCTATTTCTGCCGTGAAGCAGTAATGCGTTTCGGTTTGAAGGGTGGGGCAGCCGTTGTGACTATACTGAGACCTTAGAACTATATCTCAAGGTGTGTGGCGCATTTACGTTGTAGATGTCTATGGGCTCCAGTAACCACTTAACACCAGNAGTCCGCACGGGTAGGTACCACCGCCCCGCCTATTTCTGCCGTGAAGCAGTAATGCGTTTCGGTTTGAAGGGTGGGGCAGCCGTTGTGACTACACTGAGACCTTAGAACTATATCTCAAGGTGTGTGGCGCATTTACGTTGTAGATGTCTATGGGCTCCAGTAACCACTTAACACCAGGTGGGCTGTGAGCTCGTCCACATATCTAAGCAATAAAAAAAAATTAAAAAAAATCGGTGATCGATTTCACGGCTCACCTGGTGTTAAATGGTTACTGGAGCGCATAGACAGTACTACGTGAATGCCGCTACTCATTTTGAAACATGAGATCTTATAACGGTATAATTGTCCGTGTGCTTCAAGCCGGAATGCATTACAGCTCCGCGGCAGAAAAGACAGTGTAGCCAGGAGGGCTCAAAAGACGCTTCACCACCGGGAAATGCGTGTTTTTGATTTGTATTTGAAGACTGGAAAATTTGACGTAACTTTAATATTGTCATCTATATATTAATACGTGAAGGAAAAACGTTGTATCCATTTTTACGAAAATTGCGCGGACGGAGGAGTATGAAATATCCCACACGTATAGAGAATATAGAGAAGGAGTGCAGAATGTTAATATTTTTTTTAAATTATGCATAAAAAATACATTAAATCAATAAAAAAAACATTACTCACACTACCATGTATTTGACGCACACACGCATGCATACTATTTATTTATTGTCAAACTTTTGTTCTTGACGTCTGTGGTCAAATTGAGAATAGATTCAATATTGTTTGTCTTTATTAATATTTTTCTATAGTGTAGCCTTGACGAAATCTGTGATTATAGAAGTTTAATAGTCTTTGCAAATAGAATCATAATAGTGTACATACATATAATTTTAATTAATTATAGTCCAATTTCGACTACCGGGCGACCACTGGTTTATTTAATAGTCTGCAGTCTGTTGTTCTGACAGCCCTAAATTACACAAAAAAAAAGAATAATGCACTCAATGCACTCGAATCTTTGATCAGTTACGATTCTCGGTCGCTATCTCCGGTCCTCGGCAATCGAACTAAATATAATGAAAGTTTAATTTTAATATTAATATTAAGCATTTATAACGTTTATAAAGCTTATTTGAAATCGGTTCTGTACTTATTAGCGATGCTCGAAAGAACAAAAAATTTACAGACAATATATTTTTTTTTTTTTTTTATTGCCCTTGTAGGCAGACGAGCATACGGCCCACCTGATGGTGAGTGGTTACCGTCGCCCATGGACTTCAGCAATGCCAGGGGCAGAGCCAAGCCGCTGCCTACCGATAATTAAAACATCTCGAAGTTATATGTATGTTGGCGCAAGCATCCACTTATTAGTGTATAGTGGTATGTTAGTGGCATGTTTTTTTTTTATTGCTTAGGTGGGTGGACGAGCTCACAGCCCACCTGGTGTTAAGTGGTCACTGGAGCCCATAGACATCCACAACGTAAATGCGCCACCCACCTTGAGATAAGTTCTAAGGTCTCAAGTATAGTTACAGTAGTAGTGTTAGTGTATATATACACTTAACACCAGGTGGGCTGTGAGCTCGTCCACACAAAAAACAATAAAAAAAAAAAATTAGGCTCAGGTATTCCGTGAGCACGAATTTCTCCGTGAGCGCATCGACCCATTTACTCCCCTGACTAACAAACGCAAGGTTTTCTTACCGAGAAAAATAATAATGAAAAAAGACCCAGTAGTACCAATAACTTTCACTTCTCTATTTCACTTCTACAAGTATGATGAACTATACTTATTTTGTACGTTCTGTCAGCTTTTGTTGTCAACGTGCTACAAATGTTTTATGAAATTTAAAATTATATTTACGAAACGATTTTCTAAATGAGCGAGAATTATTTGTAATTCAAAAAAATTGCAATTTTCCCATTGCCACGGCGATACCAAAAACATACAGATATATAAATAGATATAGCCTTCATTCTCTGATCATAAGTATTCTAATTTACACACATAAAATAATAAATGTAATCTAAACGACCTTAAAATCAATTATGTAAGCAATAATTTTTTTTGTCAGGCTATCGTTCAAAATAGGTCCCCTTTTGCCTCACTTTTATATTACGAGTCAAACTTCCCCATCCCTTAAGCAATCATTTTATTGTCCTTTTGACACACATACTAAGCAACAATAATTACGCTCATTGACAAACGAATATATTTGATAACGACCCTGACCGACCGAGAATCGAACCCAGATTCCACGGCGTATGCAAGATCACTAACCATTAGACGAACCAGGAGATTCAAGAGTAGTTTACACTTTTTTATTTCTACCTATGCTGATAGCCTTAAGAGGATATTTCAGCTTCGCCCTAACATGTAGGTGAGCTCACGGGGCTCAAACCGGAAGTGTTGCGAACACTAGCCCTAGAAAGAGCTGTGCTTCGCAGAATCTACCACCGGATCGGAAACGCGATCCACTGAGAAGATCCGGCGAGAAACTTAGTAGGTTTTGTCTATGGGTTAATTCGCTCGTCGAGCCCTTCGTCGCTAGCGGCGGGTTCGATGAGGACGGAGACCGGTGCTTGTGGTACCTAAAAGCACCATTAATGGATCGGGAGGATTCGTATTGACGTGTTTTGGGCGACGTCGACTATTTACCATTCGATCTACAGGATCTCGACTAGTAGACGTAATTAAAACTAATTTTACCGTTTAATCATCCATTTTTTTAATGTCGTTATTTTATTTCCCATGTTTCGTGTACTTTACGAAAATTTTATTTTCTTGGTCACGGATAACCGACCAGGGGCTATTAATTTTCTTTTACACACTATTTAATAATTGAGAAATATGAATCTTAGTATATACCTAGACGTTAGCGCCTGGGAACCAAGCTTCCTCATTTTTCCGTACGATAAAACTTTAGAATAAAATTCCCTCTTCAAAATTATAAGGCGTCCATGTTCTGTGCTTAAGATGGGCTGTTAGCTCGTATGGACAGGAGGTTTAATAGGGTCATTTATAATTATTTATTTTTTAATAAATAACTGGAAACAAACCATGCACGGTCACCCGGCCCTAAATTATGATTCCCTGTATTATGGGTATTAGAGACTGACTAACATACTTATATACGTTCAAATGTATAATATAGGCAATAAGCGATGTGGGTATCGAACCCACGATCCTCAGCGCAACAGTCGCGGGCGCTAACTTATTGCATCACCGAGTTTTTTTTATTTTTTATTGCTTAGATGGTTTTATTTTTTATTGCTTAGATGGGTGGACGAGCTCACAGCCCACCTGGTGTTACGTTGTTACTGGAGCCCATAGATATTTACAACGTTAATGCGCCACCCACCTTAAGATATAAGTTCTAAGGTCTCAAGTATAGTTACAACGGTCGCCCCACCCTGCAAACCGAAACGCATTACTGCTTCACGGCAGAAATAGGCAGGGTGGTGGTACCTACCCGTGCGGACTGACAAGAGGTCCTTCCACCAGTAATTACGCAAATTATAATTTTGCGGGTTTGATTTTTATTACACGATGTTATTCCTTCACCGTGGAAGACAATCGTGAACATTTATTGAGTACGTATTTCATTAAAAAAATTGGTACCCGCCTGAGATTCAAACAGCGGTGCGTCGCTCAACACGAATGCACCGGACGTCCTTTAGGCCACGACGACTTCAAATGTCACGACATGACACGTCAGTCATCCGAGTCTTTTATCTTCTTTTTATCATCCAGGGCGCCACAATAGAAGAGTACGGAGTATACACGATGCTGCCAGCGCAGCAGCTCGCGCCGATCAGTCCATGGCCCCCCGACGGGAACCTCTTAGACCGAATGGACGATATCGCCCATAAAGGTAAAGGTAATGGTGCTCACCATTCTATATTAGTCTAGCATTCCATCATAGTATTATCATATCTTTTGAAGTGAAACTTCTTTACCGACGTAGGGAAGAAAAAACGTATATAACGTTTTTCGGTTACGCGCCATCTTAATTTCTTCCGTTACGCGCCATGCTTATTTTATTTTTTTGTTGTCAATGCACTGTCGATTGCACCTATAATTGAGGTGACATCTGCCATGAACTTATGTCAGTTTGTCAATGTTTTGTATTGATGATCACTTTGTTGGTGCAAGTTAATAAATAAATAGTATAAACGATCTGTATTTGTGTGTTCTTTAGGAATAAGATAAAAAAAAACTCCACCTAAATATTTTACAATATTTATTTCAATTAGGTTTTTCAAAGGTTCGATCAACCCACACAGTTTGACTTTTAAGAAAAATAGCAGTAGACTCTCACGGTATTTCTATTGAGCCAACACAATGTTTTAGTTATCGTATCAAAATACAGTTACAGATTCATTTTAGATAGAGCTTATATTTCAACAATTTATTATTATTTCCATTTATTAGAGATCGTATAAGCTATCATTAACATTAAATTTCACTATATTTATCTTATAAAATTAATAAAAGTTAATTAAAAAGATAAACTATAAATCTATAGTGCTTAATTTCGCTTTAGAACAATTATTTATTTCGAAAAAAACATTTCTCAGCCACAACGAAACCGAAAAAACATTTTTAATAACTTTAATTACTCCAATAGATGATAATCTAATTGATTCACAAAATACCTTTTCGAGTATAGATTCTAATAGACTTTAGAGCTTAAAAATTCCGCCTTAGACCCAATTTTATTTCGAAAAAATGTTTCTCAGTCACACAACGAAACCGAAAAAACATTTTTAATAACTTTAATTACTCCAATAGATGATAAATAATCTAATTGATCCACAAAATACCTTATCGAGTTTAGATTCTAATAGACTTTAGAGCTTAAGGATACTAGATCCCCTTAAGATGTGATTAAAAGAGTCGTCGTGTTGAAGGCGATGATTAATTGGAGTAAGCAGAGTTATGGTGCGGCAGGTCACAGCGGTGTTAACCAGCTCGGCGGCGTGTTTGTAGGAGGACGACCTCTGCCGGACTCGACGCGGCAGAAGATCGTGGAACTGGCGCACTCCGGAGCTAGACCCTGCGACATCAGCCGCATCCTGCAGGTCTCCAACGGCTGCGTCTCCAAAATACTAGGCAGGTCAGTGCGAAGCTCAAAGTTTAATAGTTCAACATCACGACGCGTTTTTTTTTACACATCGACGCTTGAAAGGCAAACGTGACTAAGCGACAATGCGTGAACTTTACAGTAGACTAATAGATTCAAAGTTGAAATTAATTTAAAATATACCTGAGGAAAACCTGGAAAAAATATATTTAAACGAATCTAGCTGTAGGATTGAAATGATTTTAATAGACCTAGAAATATATTCTTTTTGCGCATCGAATATGGTTATTGCCTATTATTTATGTACAAAGCAGTTATTGTCACTTAGTAGCCTTTCAACCGTCGATATGCTGATAGCCTTGAGAGGCTATTTCAGCTTCTCCTTGATATGTAGGTGAGCTCACGGGGCTCAAACTGAGAATGTTACTAACACTGGCCCAAGCAAGAGCAGTGCTTCGCAGAATCTACCATCGGATCGGAAACGTGACCCACTGAGAAGATCTGGCGAGAAACTCAGTGGGCTGTGTCTATGGGTCAGTTCGCTCGATGATGACGAAGAGTTCGACGAGGATAGTCAATCATCTCTGAGATGACACCACAAATTTCTTTTGGTGGCAAGAATTTATTTTTATTCTTTTTATATTGAGCATCATACCCCGAGAATTAATCGCGATTCCGATTCGGTGGTAGATTATGCGAAGCATTGCTCTTGCTAAGTCTAGTGTTAGCAAATTCTCTCAAGTTACGCCAGGAATAAGTACAGGAAATAAAAAAGATGTGTGGTGTCGTGGGACACTGGATAGGAACGAAGTTCCCAATAATAAAAATATTAATTTAAAGTTCTATTCGAGGTATGAAGAAAGAGAGAGAGAGACAGAGAGAGAGACAGACAGACAGACAGAGAAACATGCGACGCCGCACAGCTTACAATAGCTTACTACAGCAAAAAGTGTCGTGACAACTTTTCGTAAGAATTTATAGCAAAAAGTATCGTGACAACTTTTCGTAAGAATTTTTTCCGTCTAGCCCCCTTTCACAACGCGCGATAAGGAACTTCGTTCCAAAAATTATTTCCTGCATTAATCATACACCAATAAAATAGTAAAATTAGAAAGACAACAAAAAAGTGGACAACCCAGTTACTTTGATAAATGAAATTTCGTGATTTCCTAATTCTCTGTTGACGAATAAACATCTGATTTATAATATAATCTGACACGCTTAATAATCGCAATCTGCTTTTCGAATCCTGCTTTTAAGAAGCCGTTTAAGGCAGACTTTTTCCAAAGCAACTGGCACTTGGACCCCACATTTTAGCTTTGTTCTATGAAAACCATTAGCCATTTAACGTTCAGCCAGAAAATATAGTGAAAACGTGAAGCTTACTCGCGAAACTGCCTAAAAGAATTACGACATACATCACATGCCAATCAGACGTCAATACGGACCGCAGCTTAAAAACAAACTATATGAAACAAGACCGCGGCATCCCAAAAATGCCGTCGAAATAGTACACCGGGTATAACCGGGTCCGACCGCACAATCATAGCTGCCATCGCCTCAAAGTAACCACAGCGTTACCCGTTCTAGAGCGTTTACGCATTCCTATAAATAGGCAAGGTCTTTTCTTTATTTTTGAATAGGTAATACGCTCGGTCGCTTCTAAATTTGAATAAAGCGAAACCGCGCTAAAAAGCCTTAGCATCCTTTAATGGTAGTTTGTTTTAGATGACTGATTTAAATGGACTAGAGGTCCTGCAGTAGTCGAAATTCGACTATAATTAATTGGAATTGTAAGTTTGTACACTATTATGATTGTATTTTATACTTCTATAATAACAAATTTCGCCAAGGCTACACTTTAAAAAAATATTAATAAAGACAAACAATATTTAATTTATTCTCAATTTGACCACAGACGTCAAGAACAAAAGTTTGGCAATAAATAGTATGCATGCGTGTGTGCGTCAAATACATGGTATGTAGTGTGTGTAATGTTTTCTTTATCGATTTAATGTATCTTTTATGCATTATTTAAAAAAAAATTAGCATTGTGCACTTCTTCTCTATGTTCTCTATAAGTGTAGAAAATTTCATACACCTCCGTCCGCGCAATTTTCGTAAAAAGGGATACAAAGTTTTTGCTTCACGTATTAATATATAGATATCTAATGCGAAGTACAAAAAACAACATATTATTTTCTATATCACAATTTCGCATTTATTTTTTTCATACATTGCAAGCCGTTTAAATTGCTGACATTTCCAAACGTCACCACAGAAATCGGTAGCTGGTAATGAGCTTCAAAAATATTCGATTTACTATTCAAGAACCCGATGTAATACTACATCGTACGTGTCTTACGGAAACTAAAATACAAATTAGAAAACTAATCTGCGTCGCTATAAAATACTAGACCAGTCGAGGTCCTACAAACTACCAGGATCTCACAAGGTAATCTTGAAGATTGATCCTTATTGACGTGTAACACGATATTCATGTTTTTGTTTATCAATTTTGCGGTCACGTAGGTACATACGTTGATAGATACGTAAATGTACCTACATGCGCGTAATATCAGCTTTATGCATTTAATATAATCGCAATATATTAATGTTATACAATAATATATCGTCTTCTCGCATTAAAACTGTATAATCTCAAAACTTACTAATTTTACAGGAGAGTGTTTTAAAGGTGTAACATGTGATATTTTTAATATTAATCATCTTTGCAACATTTATTTTTTATTTTTTACCAGTTACATTATCTGTCTTTTAATGGAAAATAAAATTATGTATTAATTTTGTTAATAGTAGTCAAAACAGGTAAACTAAAAAAAAACTAAAACTAAACTACGCTCTTTTGTCAGTATTTAAGAGAAAAATACTGGTGATACCAAATGATTCCGCATATTAACTCAATTTCGAATATTTTTGGGAATTGTACACTTTTATTGCGAAAAGACGATATTACAGATTGGTTTAGATTTAGGAGGTTGTAATGTAAAAAATCGCGTCGTTTCAATGTGTAGCTTGATCTATCGGATGAAGCCTTATTTGAGGAAGGCCTATTAGTACTTTAAAAAGATCAAAGGAAAGATTAAATTTGGAAAAGATCAATCAATATGGAGAAAATTAAAAGGGCGCTGGACAGGACATATGCTGAGAGAAAAGAAAGAGAAATGGTCCAGAATAATAACGGAATGATACCCTAAAGAAAACAGAAGAACTAGGGGAAGATAGACAAAGCGATGGGAAGATGACTTGAAGCAAGTAGCTGGGCCAGGATGGTTACATACAGCAAAGGATAGAAACAATGGAAATCCTTAGAGGAGGACTTTGCCGAAAGACCTTTGGGGCTTTGCCGTTAAGAGGAGAGATAAGCCGAATACCGAGAACATGTTTTAAGTTAAATTAATTTTATAGTTAGTTTTCTTACCTCTATTGTTATCATTTTATGTATAGATAAATAAGTTCTAAACTCTAACAGCAATCAAAGGCTTATTTATTTTTTATTAGTACTTGAACTAGAATATTAAAATATATAGTTGGTTGGAGATGATAGTTACAAGCTAAATAGTATTTAACTAATTAACTAGACGGACTTTATATTTTTTGTGTAGTATGCAGTGGTTTCCTGGACGTTGTTATCATGAGAAACTAATTTATCCCAAATTGTGTGGTCAATTCCTTCAAAGTTGCATATCTATAACATAACAATGGTTAACAACTGCTCATATTGGCGTCTCGTTAACTGTGCATTGATAATGTTAATACTACGGTTGACAATTACTTTTGAAGTGATCAGCGCGATTGCTAATGCAAAAAACATATTAATAACATAACTGTTTCTATACGTGTCCTTGTAATTTTAATACCGTCTTTAAAAAAAAAGAAACATTTCAAATCAGCATTATTTATAAGCCCATATGTGTTCGTACTATATTGAGAACACCGCAGACAAACACTTTTTATGAATTACAATACATGTAAACTAATATAAATCAATACATATCGAGGGATGAATACGCGAGATTTGTCTTTGTAATTAAAGGTCCGTTTTATTTGGTATTAGAATCAACAATTTGATTTTTTTAATTGAACTACAATTGTTGAATATGTTTAACATTCAAATGGCTGGCTCTCCTGCAAAAATGCAAAAATTTCGCTTAAACCAAATAGCCTTTCACGTCTCAATATGATTTTAAAGAAACAATCAATGTCTCCTAAACTATAATACACAGTAAACCACATTCTCAATGCAAACTTAGCTCCAATAAATAATCTAAAAATAATAATTCAATAAACCGACCAGAAGGGTGACTCAGTATTTGTTTTACGCGAAAATTAATACATAAAAAAAAATAGACGACAGTTGGTCACCTTGAATAACGAAATATCGAAAAAAAAAGGTTCCTCCTCGACCGTGTATCGAACCTGATACGTCAGAGCAACTTGATATGTTCGACCACCTTACTCCGATGATACTCCATACCGCCGAAAGGTCTACCTGGATGTGGTAACGAATTTCAATACAACTGGATCGCTATAATTTTTTTTAAATAAATTTCATTCGATAATGAATCGATAATGAATTATCGATAATGAATCGATAATGAATTCTCTGGTATATATGACTGGATTGATGAGAAACACTAGTTGGAGCAGCTAAGTCTGAAGTTCAAGTAGCTAGCTGGAATTCGAACTTTGTTAGAAGACGACTCTTGATGAAATATGACAGACTAATACTAGAAATTAACCCGTTTAGTGCTAAGCTTATTGTCACATATTTTTCAGAAATAGCTAAATAATTTTTGATAAATATCCTTATACAAACTTTAACTTAAAATAATACAATGATCAATGCTAAATTTACAGCGAAATAGCTTTAATTTATTATTTATAAATGTTATTAACTTATTAAAAACTTAACACAAGCGCGCGTTAAGACACGTCCGTACATACGTCACGCCGTCATGGTCGATACCTAATACCTATAATCAAACTGCGCAATAGTCTGTATTCCGACGCTCCGCATTTTATAGGGACTCATAGAGAGTCGATCTATCGACGGTTCGCGCTTTAAGGGTTAAACAATTTTTCTCGTATGTAAGTTTATCTTATATGGTATTTATTTTTCACATGTGTATTTAAGTATATATTTTTATGTAAGTTTATTAAGATATAGCACCGTCCAGTTAACTTATTCCTCTCCCTGCAAGGTTGCCTGGAAGAGATCGCTTTCAGCGATAAGGCCGCCGATTTATATCACCGACTTTTGTTTTATTAGTTTACTCTGTACATATTAAGGTGTTATATAAATAAAGAGTTATATTATTATTATTATTAATATTATTATTATTATACACTACTTTAGTAATATAATACTGGGCGTCCCAGTATTATCACAATTCCAATCACGTATCGTGTGCTGTGATCTGTCAAGGGTTTTTTTAATTCATTTTTTATAAATAATTAAAACTATTTTTAATACGCTTTTATTAGCTTCAGATATATGTACATAATATATGTTAGTATGTAACGGAATCTTTGAACATGATTTTGACCCCCTTCAAAATGTCGGATTAACTCGAAACTTGGCATGCTTATTAAGGACCGATGACAATTCAATATTTAAAAAAAAATTTAAAAAATTGAAATTCAACTAAAAAATGAAAAATAAATAATATGTAGTTTAAAAAAACTAAAAAAAATACGTTTTTATAGAAAATCCAACTAATTCATTCAGGATATTATCAAAATAACCCTTCTACTCATATCTGTTCATAAAATATTTATATCTACTGATACCATGCCCCCACGCTTTTTTTATAATAAATCATTTTTTCTTACACTATTTTTAATTCAAATTTATTAAAATTTATTTTCTATTCTTTAGTTAGTTTTTCTATAAAAGCGTATTTTTTTAAAGTTTTTTTAAACTATTACATATTTATTACGGCTTAATCTCGTCCTTATTATCAGTATCTACGAAAATACTTGTTATCTATTGATACTAAACACTAGATACATTATTTTCCCCTTCGCTGGTAGTCTAACTGGCTATTCCAGCTACGCGCGTACGAGAACTAGATATCTACTGATCTAACTAGATGTGACCGCTGAAAGTAATCTGTCGTTGTTTTTTCTATAGGTATTACGAGACTGGTTCGATAAGACCTCGCGCGATAGGTGGCTCGAAGCCCCGCGTAGCCACAGCGGAGGTAGTTAGCAAGATCGCTCAGTACAAGAGGGAGTGCCCTTCGATTTTCGCCTGGGAGATCCGGGACCGTCTGCTGAGCGAAGGGGTCTGCACATCTGATAACATACCTAGTGTGAGTATGAACTAATTTCTTACGATACATATTTCTATCGATTTTATCAATATTATTTATTTGTATCCAGTACTTGCTAATGATAAACAGACGAATCCTGTGAGCTCACTCACCCATTAAAACCAGAATAAGTATAACCCCTCGACGCTATCGATAATTAGGAAAAAAAGTCTTAATATTAGTAACAGCAAAGGGATATTATGTTAGAACGCCGTTGTCGGTCAGTATTCTTGTTGAGATATTATTATTCTTTTAAACCGCTTTTGTGTAATTACTGGTGGTAGAGGTTATTGTAAGCCCGCACGGGTTGGTACCCAAAACCCAGCCCATTTCTGCGGCGAACAGTCGTGCGTTTGAAAGTTGTGACAGCCATTATACCATACCTATTGAGACATCGTCGCATGTCACAAGGTGGGTGGCCACAACGTCATAATGTCCATGAGCTCCTGTAACCAGATGAGAGGAGTTGTAGCCACTTGTAGACAATAGATAATCTTATATATAAAGAAATCATAAAAAAAAAGATTTATAAAATTCGTAGTACTTAAATGATTTTTAATAAGATCTGTAGGCTGTGACTCAATGTAAGCAAAATCTCAAGAACTGTTTAATCTACTATTTTTTCAAACGAATGTCAAAGACTTCTTTAAATTCAATGACTCTAGAATTTTCGAATCGACATTCAAAGGCTTGAGAGAAAGTATTTACAAATTTAAAAGCGCAACTCGTAAACGTGAAAAATGATAATTTAAACAGCCATTTTGAAACCTATGTACTCCATTAAGGTAGACGGACTTTCATACGTACAAGTAGATACTGAATTACGGAATAAAAAACAAACTTGTGACACGTCGCGACTTTTTTTTATAAAATCAATACCCTCTGTTTCATCCAATGCCTTTCTTATTAGGGCCTGTATTTCCTGTAAGTTGCTACAAATAGAATTTATAATAAAAACGTAGTAAATATTACTCGGTGTAATCAATTCCTCAAGTTAAATATTGACCTGTTTGTATTAATTGCTTAATATTAATTACGTTAAGCATAAATAGTTTTTGGTTTGTTCCTGTAATCTTAGGCAAAGAGAACTATTAGAAAAGCCAAGTAAAAAAATAAAAAATAATTAGCTCTCTGCTTGTTTTTGGGTGTTTATAGACACTGTAAAAAATGTTTCATATTTGACTACCCCAAGCTAAGATTTTCTTCTCTGTTACAACAAATACACCCAAATACGAAAAATCTTTCACAAACACAAACTCCGCCCAGGAATCAAACTGGAAACCTGTAGTACAACAGTAATCGGGATCACTACCAGTCACTAAACAAATCAAACATTCGTCTAGATTTAGTTATTTAGTAAATTAATTTAAAAAATTAATCAACTCGAAAGAGACAACACACGACACTTAGGTACATATATAATACATAAACAACTAACAAAATAAATTTCAAGACATTAGTAGACAGATTTGCTTGTATATAAAAACCTTATCTGTTCGGAACTACGTGGAGACTCCGTTGTCACCCCTCACCACTTCGAGGCAAAACAATATGACGTTATAACTTTTTTTTTCTTTTTTTGAATACAGGGACGCTCCCTTCGGAGATATTCTTTAGACGTCAATACGACTCACGCTATAGGTTGATTGTTTTTGAAATTCGATTTTTTTTTAACTTTTTTAAATTTAATTTCTTTATTCATTATTTTACCTCGATGCGTCTATGCGTTTCAGGTAAGCTGTTTATTATTTGTGTTATCTGTGGATTATAGTGCTATGATTCTTGTCATTAAGATGCAACTTTAAATTCTAAGTACTCTAACTATCCAATGTCGACTGGGCAACCCATTGCTGATGCCCATGAGCTACGGTGACTTTATTACTTTATTATTTATGACTTATTAAGTAAGTATGGATATAAGTATGGATATTAAGTAAGTATGGATAAGTATGGATTGGTAAGTAGGATGTGTCCTAGTCTGCCTAAAACAACAAAATAAAATTAAACCTATATTATTTCCTTACGTCTACTAAAGTTAGATATTACAAAATGTTGTTTCGAATGGAATCTGAACGAAAAAGGTTCGTCGAAAAGCAAACATCTTATTTTATAAAGACATTAACCTCGTATCGCAGCAACTCTTTCACGAAAATATTCGCAATAAAACTCAACGTACCGCAAAAGATACGGTAATAACATCATGAATATACAAAAAAAAATACTCAGTTTTACGTCTGTAAGGCCTTTAGAGGTTATTAAACACCCTTTAACGCTATCTCCCTTAAAATACTTAACATAAATTAATTAATAAATTCGCGCACTCACCCTGTCGCCGAAGCGTTTCTAGAAAAAAAAAAAAAAACGTAGCTTAAGTACGCGACGGTAATATCGAGAAAAACATAAAAACCGAAACAGAGGGAAAACCTTCGAACGAGACGGCAATACGGCATTTTAATGAGACAGAAAGAGTTGTACGTTTATTTCTCTTTTCATCTCTTAAAAGGGGAAGCCGGCCGATTTTGACACGGCATGAATAAAGAAAATATGAAGGCTTTTGTTACCGTAAAAATTCCTGTACAGGGGATAAAGTCTTTAAGTTATCAGCGAGGGCACCGCTGAGGGTATCTATGTATATATAGATAGGGTAAGACGTATGTTTATCGAGTATCGGCATATTGTATATACGAAAATTATTCTCAAGAGGGCGCTTAGATGTTGAATATATTAATATCCGGGATATCGATTCTGACAGCATCAGATTTTATTAAGCTTGTGCGTGTCTTATGCCTCTTCGTTTATATTAATAATTAAAAATTACTTGACATATTAACTGTATTATAGTGGTCTAGAATCTAGACCATCAATCTTGTTTTTATATTAAAATCTAATCTAAAATTTTAGGCCCGTGAATACGGCTAGCCGCTTTGAGACATGACGTCTAAATCTCAGTTTGCATAGTATAAAGGTTTCCGATTTCAAAGCGAAACGCATTACTGCTTCACGACAGAAATAAGCAGAGCCTAGCCGTGCAGGCTTACAAGACGTCCTAGAATTATGCAAATTAGATTTTTTGCGGATTTGATTTTTATTACGCGATGTTATTGCTTCACCGTAAAAGTCGTTCGTCAACGAATGCTAACTACGCATTTTATTAGCAAAAAATGTATTTGTCTGCGGGATTCGAACACCGGCTCAGTCGCATCGGTTGATACGAGTCGCCCTATTTTTTAGTCCACGACAACGTCATAATATCGATATTTATGCAAGGAGTAACATTGTAACTGACAAAACTAAAACTGAATTACAATGTTGTTCCTTGCACCTGCCGAACTATCATCATAACAATGTAATCGATAAGGGATACTTCATAACGGACCTTCAGAATTGAAGTGGGTTAATCCAAAATTCTTGTTTTTTGGTAAACGCCAAAAATGTATTTGAAGGATTGTAATTTTTCAGTTTTGCTTTTAATACTTTAAGCCTTAAATCGCATACCTTAAGGTTTAAGATATGCGATTGATTTTAAAAGTGACGGAAAGTGTACTTTGTCCCTTTCTAAACAAAATTTAAATTTCGTGTTTAATCTTCTATATTATATGTATATATAAAAATGAATTGCTGTTCGTTAGTCTCGCTAAAACTTGAGAGCGGCTGGACCGATTTGGCTAATTTTGCTCTTGAATTATTTGTGGAAATCCAGAGAAAGTTTAAAAGGTAGATAAATATGAAAATGCTCGGAATTAGATAAAAATAACAGTCGGACAGATTCCTTTTGTTTGTTTTAAATTTATTTTATACAAAAGTTTAAGTCTTTTATTTATCGATTGAGGCACTACGAAGTCCGCCGGGTTAACTAGTTTAAAATAAATAAATTTGTTAATTGATAGAATACATGTTTATAAGTCGTTGAAAATATAAAACACATTTCCTAAAAAATTTAGTTAAGCCCCTTCAATTCTGAAGGTGCGATAAATACATAGTTTTAAGTTCTAGNCTCAAGACATCCTTGATTAAGGCAGCCGCCGATATTGACATGGACCTCGTTCGTGCTGCGATAGACGACTGGCCGCGCAGATTGAAGGCCTGTATTCAAAATCACGGAGGTCATTTTGAATAAACTTTAGTGTCATAAGAATCTATGTTTTGTTAAGTTCATTTTGGCATATAAATGGTTACATAATGAATAAACTTGTTTCAATTATTTTACATTAAACATGTGACAGAATTTATGACCTGACTAGGTATATATATAAAAATGAATTGCTGTTCGTTAGTCTCGCTAAAACTTGAGAACGGCTGGACCGATTTGGCTAATTTTGCTCAAGTTTTTTTTGGTGAATCCAGAGAAAGTTTAAAAGGTAGATAAATATGAAAATGCTCGGAATTAGATAAAAATAACAATTTTGTTTTTCCTTTGATGTGTCCCCAGTCTGACAGATTCCTTTTGTTTGTTTTAAGTTTATTTTATACAAAAGTTTAAGTCTTTTATTTATCGATTACGATCCCACTACGAAGTCTGCCGGGTTAACTAATTTAAAATAAATAAATTTGTTAATTGATAGAATACGTGTTTATAAGTCGTTGAAAATATAAAACACATTTCCTAAAAATTGTTTAGTTAAGCCTCTTCAATTCTGAAGGTGCGATAAATACATAGTTAAGTTCTAGATTATTTTGAATTTGGACTGATTTTGATCTTAGAGCGTTTCATTATTGGATGACAAACAAAGACGTCACAGCTATTGTCAAGCCTTTACAGTAACGAGGACCGACAAATAAAAAGTTAAGCTCTGTTTACTATTCATACAAATATCAAAGTGCGACACGACATTGAAAAAGCGCTCCAATTTTCTTACGTCTTAAATCGAATATTGTTTGTCGCCGAAAAAAAAAATGTGGTAAGGGGTCAATTTTCGACACAGGGTCATATCGTGCTGTAACATGCGTTCCCGTAGCAAATCACTTCCGGGCCACTAAATCCAGGCCAAATTAATGCATTT